ACAGCGGAGATATCAGACGGCGGCGGGACAGCAGGCAAGAAACTTAAGAGCAAGAGGGCGAAAAGTGAGAAATGAGCAGGGGCTCGCTTACTTATACCCCTGCACGAGACTCGAAGCGTCAGTAGACACTTGAGTACCCTAGGGTAGTCGCCCTAGCAGCCACCCAGCGTGCGACACGTGGCGGAAGCAGACAGACGCGCCTCTTCACCTCTCCTCGCTGATACCCATCTTCAAGCCCGAACAATCAACGACGTAGAACACGCGTGCTCCCGCTGAAGGATCTTCCCCCGGGCCAGTCCACTTCCCCAGAACAACGTCATCAAGTCCTCGCTCCCTCCCTCGGAGCAACGACTTGGGGGGCTCCTGTTCTGGCCTGGGCCCCGGGCTGATCACGCGGGCTCAGCCCAATAGTGTTCCACCAGGCCCTATCCAGTTCGAGTACCACGTCAGGCACGAGGTCCCCGACGAGCCAGAAAGGCCTCCCTGCAAGGAAGGCCTACCCCAACTACGACGGGCTGGAGACTCCCCGCTCGGCGAATCCTACCCTCCGAGGACAAGACCTGCCCCCCGCAGGCAGAACCCGCCCTCCTGTCGGGCAAGACAACGTGTCCTTCACACGTCTCCACGTGCCCCCCTCTGCGGGGACACGTCACCAACCAATTACCCACCTCCGAAAGAGCAGGTCAAACCCATTTTTCGGAGATCAAGGGACAGTTGGACTAGGGCGAAGACCACGTCCTGGTCTTCACTACGCCACGTAAGCCCTAGCAGTCACCTGGGTTGGGCCTGGCCATCCAGCCCAACACAAGTGACCGTTGGCCCAGCGCTGGGGTCTCTCTATAAATACCCTCTTCCACAAGAGGGTCAGGTAATTCACTTCTTACCCTTTTCTGTACTTTGCCTTCACTCTGCCCAATTCCTTATTTTGGCATCGGAGTGTCTTGCAGATACACCCCCCTCTTCCTCCTCAACACCGGTGAACAGGTAGCGGTCCAACAGCGTGTGGCCAGCCCGTGATCCCCTTCTGATCAGGTCAGATCATTTTCTTTCACCTAGTTTTCCATCTGTTTCTTTATTCTGCATATTATTTCTTCGTTTGTTTTTTCAAATTATTTTAAACTATGATTTTCTCAATGATTTTTTATTTTAATTAAAGATTTTTAAAACTTCACAATTCACCCCCTATGTTAGGAGTCATTTGTCTAACACTTGTAACTCAACTTTGTGTCTACCTTCCCTCTAAGGTTGATGCAGTAGCGACTGAAAAGGATGACGTGTTTCTGGTGGGGTGTGTCAACCACCTCTTCCATTTGAGTCACGTGGCAGAGTTTGGTGTTCTTGACGTTAGGGATGATCTCGTGATCTCGGAGAAACTTGACGTGGGGAGGTAGTATCCATGAGAATTGGTTTCGACGCAGTTACAATTTTTTCTTGCAATGCCATTTCATAGAGGTCTTAATCATTCAGAGGTGCGTATTATAGGTTTTCTTCGATCCTAAGAAGCCTCTCAACCAAGAAATGGAAATTATGTTGTTGTACTAGTTTTTAGATGTTACTGAGTAGTTCGTTTTCTCCTTGGATACCTAGGATTCCCTATAGTTGTTGGAGGCTTCGAATCATTTGTTATCAAGGGATATGGGGTTACGGTGGAATTCAATTGGAGTTTTTTCGTTAAAGCAATTGTTGAGAAGATTAGAAGGTCTGAAGGACCTGGAAAATGTTTTGGCCAATCGTAAAAGGAACTCGCTTCGTGAAGTTGGAACAGAAGCATAAGTCACTAAGACTCAATCTAATTCTATCATTGATGGAATTAAAGACTCCCTCCTATGATCTGTAACCTCGGTCGTCACAATAATTGTAGTGTCGGCTTTGCGTTGGGTGACTACCGAGTAGACTTAGAAGTTTCCATGACTGTCGTATAATTAATCAATTGCTTGAGCAAAAAGATGATCAAAAAAATTGACTTGTGGTTCATAGGTGGTGGATTTTTGTTGAAATTTGAGAGAACAAAATGTCAATTTCCACGTATGATGCCATTTTCCATTATGGAATGAGAGATGGAAAGTGTAGAGAAATGAGTTTTTCGTCACTACAACGAGAACTTTTTAGGAGCGGCGGAGCAAGGGGCGGACCTGTAAGGTTATCACTCCAATGTCCAAATCAGTTAAGTGGTAGAGAAGTAGTTTGAAATTGTGGGCATGTGTGTGTGTGTGTGTGTGTGTGTGTGTGTGTGTGAGAGAGAGAGAGAGAGAGAGAGAGAGAGAGACAGAGAGACAGAGAACACTTGAAATTGATTATTATGAAGGTAATATAGGATTGATAGTGAAAACTACTTTTTTCTAATATGGCGTGCGATGCATAAGATTGTTTGATCATATTTTATTGTGGAAGATATGTCGGTGATTAAAATTGTATGTTTTACGCTTCATTGAAGTCTCTCATGTTCCCTTGTTTGATTCACTCTCATTTTTCACTAGACTTTATGATTGGGCCTTCGTTCGTAGGTCTTGTGAACAACCCATAATACTTTCTCATTTTGGCATTTCTTATTGTTACCTTGGTGGTGCTCACACATTCTAGTGAAAGTACAAAAATACCCCTAAAATACCAAGATATATTTTAGAATGCACTAAAACTCCACACATCATTCATTCGTAAATGAGTCACACCCATCTTTCCATAATTTAGTATGGAGATAAATCTTCATAAAAAATACAAAAGTATACCTTTGGACGGGTTTTGAGTTATATTATCGCGTGAGACCTTCCCTCTTCCTCATTTCAAGTAAAACTTCTTCTAAGCAAAACTTCTTCATTTGTGCGTGAAAACCCCCAAATCCATAATTTTTCAACCTTGCTCAAATTTTTCAACACGGATCCTCCAAGATTTTCCATGCATCTCTGACTGGTAATATGTGGATGACTACTCTGAAGATTAGCCATGTGCTTGCACATTCGTCCCACTCAGAGGGAATCAGGCAACTGAGCCATTCAGAGTGTTTCTTGAATGTATTGCAACATATGATATGCACTAAACACCATACGACGATCAGCGTCAGACGTGTCCCTTGGATGACATAGTATTCTACTTCGGATGATTGGCTTGTGCGTTTTTCCTGATTTATCTACATCTGTCTGAGTGAGTCATGTGCCACTTTGAATTTCTATAGGGTTTTCCAAGAAACCCTTTTGTGTCTGCTCCTCCTATTATCGTTTACACAGATGTTGATGCGATGTTTGATGATTTCTATAATCATCTGGTACAAGAAGAAGCATGAAGTGTGCCAACTCCACATCTATGAAGTAGTGCATTCGGCTACATCTAATGGTATTTCTGAGTGTCACATTCTTACATGACATCAAATGGTCACAAAATTCACTTAGGATGACTCATCAGGGATATTAGAGGAGGGACAAGTTTTGGCCGATCATGTCATTAATGTGTTACTTGCATGTTGTCGTATAAAGGCCATTGCGCGAGCGGGTATAAAGAGAGATGAGAGTTTTCATAAGACACTCTTGTGAGTCATACTATAAATGTCATTCTATTCGAGGCACAGACCGCATTGCAGTACAAGAGACAGAGAAGAAATGTAGGGTCAAATTTACCCAATAGTTCAGTTTTACTTCTATTTTGATAGTATTTGTGTTATTGTTTGTAACTCGTCAACTATGATGTTTGATTATGGATTTTATATTGATTCTAATATATGAGATTTTAATCTTATTACATCAGTGTATGGTTAATTGATAACAAATCTATGATGATAGAATACTTATTATAAATGGCCTATAAAATAAGATTTGTTAAAGAAATGTCAAATCTTAATGCCCTAGGGTTGTTACGGAAGTATACTTCCATTAATTTTATGAAAATTCATCCACGTACTAATTTATGGCATGAGGGTGTGACTCGTTTACGAAGAAATAAATGTAGTGTATATGGAGCATGTACGGAAGTATACTTTTGAATTTTTGAAGAATAGTTAATTTTGAATTTTAAAAAAGGTGACTTTTTATTCCTAAGAGCATCGGATTTCTAAGAGCATCTCTAATGGAAGTTATTTAATGGATACGTAAATTTTAAGTTTCGGACCTTATCATTTTCACTATTAGAGTAGATATACGTGACGTTCTTGTTGTTTAAATTTATTTACAAGTTGTTTCATGAAGCAATACAAAAAGTGTGCAGCGATGGGCCAAAATAGAAATGAATTGGATAACATATAGAGTGTTTATTAAAATCACATTATTAAAAATTTTTAAATGTTGCTTAAATGCAATGTGGCTTAAATGAAAGTGGCAATTGGTGGCACACAAAATCGTTAAGCAATAAAAATAATTAATTATCCCACTGAAGATTACTATAAATGGTTAGTTAAATGTAATGTGACAATTAGTCTCCCATAAAATAGTTAGCAATAAAAAAATTAGTTATTCCTCTAAAGGTGAAAAGAGTAACCTGGGGAAATTATTATAAATGGTTCCCGTGATGAACTATTGATTTCTAATGTGTGGGAAGGATTACAAAATGACGAGAACATCACACAGGGAGTGCTAAAAAAAACAAAATACAAGATAGCTAAAATAAAGAGTACATGTAAATTAAAACTCAAGAACAAAAATGAATCCAAAATAATCTTATAAAAAAGACCTCAAGAACAAAAATAGATTAAAAAAAAGGTATATACATGTTGATAAGGAAATCAAAGTGAGGCTTCAAACCCTACTAAAAAAAATTCAAGTCGATGAAAATAGAGAGCAACGATGAAGTTGGAATTACAAACATATTGTTAATTAAAAATAACATGATGGATGGTCACAACACAATAGAAATTCCTCATATTACAATTCTACCTCAAATGCTCACACATTCAGAGATTCAAATTCAAAAGCCACACCATAGTGACCCCAACCAACGACATCAAACAAATGAAAAACAACTGAAAATCAATCATGCAAATATATATATAGAACAAGATGTTTAGAATTAGTCTCATCTCATGGTTCAAAATCAGTCTTCACCCACTGGCACTGTCCATATTTGCTTTTCATTTTCTCATCAAACTCCTTATCTTTAACCTCACCAATCTTACCTACATTCGCAGTCGATTCCTCTTGCACTTTTGCAATCCTTCTACTTCTCTTCCTCGCAATAGCCTCTTTCTCTGCTTCAAGCTCCTCGTAACTCTTCACCACACAACTATGCACTAGACAACTCAACACCAACACAACAAATTGCAACAAACACATAGCCATCAACGCCCCACATTCAAGTCTTACCAAAAGTTTAGCTTCTTTTGGGTCCCTTGACGAGTTTAGCATCTTGAGGCTCGCTTTCTCTTTGGTGAATAAGGCGAATATGGTGAGGATTTGTCCTGTGAGTGAGGCTAGTGTAAGGGAAATGTGAGTGAGGAAACATAAGTGTGTGAGGTGGGAATAGAAACCGACGAAGGATGAGAAGAGTGAGATGGTGGAAACCATTAGGAAGGCCGTGCCGAATGAAGTTGGTGGCATTTTGAGGAGAATGGTTGGTGCAAATGATGCGGCGGAAAGGATGAAAAGTGTGAAGTTTAGAGAAGAGAGAATGAGGACTGTGAAGGAACATGGTTTTCTGAGTTTTGAAGAAGCCATTTTGGTGTTTTTGGAGGATATGTGATGTTTGAAAAACGGTGAAGAAATTGAATTTATATAGCAAGGATGAATTGTACCGTTAAAGATGAATGTAAAATGTAACGGCTAACGCATAAAGCAGACCCCACTTGGATTGTGAAGTGCAATATTCCCTCCGCAGGTATTCAATTTCAAACAAACTTTCTCGAATAAGGTGTTATGATTGGGAATCATTTCAATCATATTTGGAGCCAAGTTGTAACAGTAACTCTTTTTTACGCATAGATCATAAAATAATTTGATAAATCAAAATAGAGTTGTTAATCAATTTAAATATTAATTAAAATATCTTTTTAATATTTTACCTTTATTAGTTAATTTAACGGTTAATTTTATGGAACATTTTAAACTCAAACATTTTTAAAAATATGCATGGCAACGAAGGTAGTTTCAACGTGTGAGAATGGAAATACTATTTCATAAAAACAACTACTCAATTCTCATTATCAAAATGTAAAATTCTTTTATAACTATTACTTCATTTTTTTTATTACAAGTCATTTTGACACTTTCATGTGTATTAATAAGTATAGTAATGATATGAAAAGGAGAAGTTAAAAAAAAACTTATAAAATGTATGAGAAAAATAAACATTTAAAAATATAATAAAAAATAATTTTAATTATTAATTGATTTTATAAAATAACTTATAAGTTGGTACAATTTTTTCTCATTCCGATTTTATGATAAAAATAGACTGAATAATATGTAAGTGTCTCTATAAACAATTTATTGTCAATTTATCTTGAAATTGGATCTGTTGGGGTCACCCTTTGCCGCAATCAAGCAGTCACGGTATTTACAATTGTTAGATCATAATAGAACCATTCAAATTTAATGCAAATTTAACTTTTTAAGAATAAAAAGTATTTAATTTTAAATGTGAAACGTCGATTATATTGACAGCATGAGTTCATCATTTCATAGCTGTCTATGATGCTATGAGCCCCAAATCCAATTTTTCTAAACTTTTACCTATCAATTTTAAAAATAAAAATAATAAAAATCTCTTATATAAGTTGGACAAAATTGGTTTACTCAGCAAAGATTTTAAATGTGTTTGTCTACCTTCAAGAGAGAGAAAAACATATTAAAGATTGTATGTCTACCTTCAAGAGAGAGAAAAACATATTAAAGATTGTATGTCTACTAGACTCAACCCTAATTAAACCATTTTCTTCGAGACAGATATAAGTCATTTTAGCTAAATTTTAGTTTGAAGACATCTAATTTGTGGAGTATAGAAGCAATTAGGAGCATTACCGTGAATTCTAACTCAACAGATAAAAATCGATATTACTAGGTTGAACTTAACCAGTGTTCGAACTTACGTATTCGCGGTTGTATGTGTGAATTTCGAGTTATTATCATTTTGTCTATTGACAAATAAAAAAGATTTGGATTTGAGTAAAAAAAACTAACTATAGCCACATAAACAAATCAACAAACCGGCAAAGCACATTATGAAACTTGACTGTTACACTAATGTATGCACAAAGCAAATAGCCGTTTGGCTACAGTGAGTTAGTTTTCTCCCATCAACTGCTCCTTGATATCATACTTGAGGGCCATGCCACAAAATTCAAAAACCTTACCGGTATTACCTTAACTCCACTTGAGTCTTGTTGGCATTTCAAACAGGCAGTGACAAACTTCAAAAGTTGACTTAACATCCTGCAGAAACTATACTCAGATTAGAAAAGCCAGCCATTTTCAAATAAAAAGAAGCCCATTATGGAGCTATATAATTTATTGTCACCTAAACCTACTACCAATATCATCAAAATATTTCTTAATAATTTCGCAACCCCACACAAAGCATGTATGGAACCCAGGAAGGATAATACAAATGAACTGCGCCAACATGTGCCCAGCCAGTATACCACGAAAACAAAGAAATCAAGAAATTATAACACTATGGTACCTAAGGAACAAGACTAACCAACAGACCAAACTCTCGAGCTAAATTGGCTTGCAGCACACCCCAGCATTTACCTCAAACACTAACCCACTATAACAAAAATGCACCACACCACAGCTTTAATAGATCGCGGAAGCAGATAAAGAAAGAAAACCTGGCACAGTCCACACTTCAACCGCCCCCATACTGAAACGACATCTACTACCAACGGCCCAGAAAAAACACAAATGAAGTCAACTAGCAAAGCTAGTCAAGGATCACAATTCCACTCATAAAAAATAGACGGGGTGTTAGGTAGCCTTAGTAGATACCAACGCCAGGCCATAATTTTTACTTTGTCGACCACCTCCTTTGCCGCCTCCACCTTAATGTTAAACAAAGAATCATTCCACAACTTCCAAATCAACCACAAAAACAGCAAGCCAGATAACCTTCAATCCACTCTTGACTTTCTTGTCTGTCCCTATTTCTAACCACTACCAGTCCAATATATTTTACGGGTAAAAAAAAATGTGTTCTGAGCAAAAGAATACAGAAACAGCAATATCAGCATAAGCTTGGAAGAAAATGAAGGTTTATACTTAAATAGTAATGTCTATTTCTCTTATCAATAACAGTTTCAGATTCAGTATCCACGGAATATTATAAATCCATAAATTACTAGAAAAACAGACTGATCGATAAACTCCAATGCGGATAAATAATCATTCTATATAATTCATTTAAAAGAGAAATCAATTAGGAATAAGGAATGATATCTACATAATTCAGAAAACATTTAGAATTATTCATTTATCATGTTCACAGATTTTTTTTTATTTTTTACCACTGTAAAACTTCTTCCAAAGGGAATTGAAGGCTGTACCTTCTTTACACTCTCTTCTATTGTAATCTTTTACCAAATCAATTAGCATCACTGTGGGTTATGATGGCCTCAACTCTATCAAGTGATGCTTGTAGACGCCCCGACTGCATGTTTAACATTGGCTCGCCAGTACCTAGACCCCTGTTTAAAGATTAAGTTAGTCAATCATTTATGAAATAATTGAACGACAGAAAACAAATACAGCATGTATCACACGTGCATCGAAATATCACTAACTAAAAATAATACCTCAACAAAAAAATCAACTATCTTAAGCGCATACTCCCTCCAGTCTTGATTATAAGAAAAAGTAGTCACACTTATTAAGAATTTAGTTAAGTGTATTCTCAAAATACACCTTCATAGGAACTTGTTCCATGTAAATAAAGAAGCCATTGGAAAATAAAATTTATATTAAATGAGGGGATTTTATGAATGACATTATTTAATAGAGTAAAAGTAGATAAACTTGCTTATATTTGAGACTGCCAAATAAAAAAATTTGCTTATATTCGAGACCAGAATGAGTACTTCCTTAGAAGTGGTGAAAAAAATTCAAAACTTGCCCAGTAAGCTCAGGAAGAACATATTCTGCCCTCCATCCAAACCGTAAATCAAATCCAGGGAACAAACCAACCGATGTCTTGTTTCGGATTCGGGATACATTGTCTCCACCCAAACATGTGGTGAGCTTCCATTTCCAACCAGTAGCATGCATTTTAAAACTGTGTCCTACACCAACCTGTGCTGATTATGTCAGTGTGAATTGCTTCAAACGAAATTTAACAGAAAGCGGGAGATCAACTTATCATGAGTCATGACAACAACAATAACACCATGAAATTAACACATACAGGCAATTAATAAAAGCTTCATTCATTACTATCTTTACACATTTTTGCAATATCAATATAAACATCATAACTATGTCATGATTGAAAAAACGAAAGAATCAAACACTGTCAAACCTGAAGATTCAGAAATTTGGTAATTGGGATCTTTTTTGAGAGAACGCGAACATCATGCTGAATGGGCTCATAAATGAACTTCCATTTCCATTCAGGTGTCAAAGGCTTAAATACAAGCTTTGCTTGACACTCGTTGATAGGAGCATTATAGATCTGCACACATACACACAAAATTGATCTCCCATAAGTAATAGTCACCATACCATATCAGAACAATTGACAAGCAAACAACCCCCAAAACATAAACCTATTAACTTAAGAGATCCAACAATATAAAAAGAAACAGAGTAAACATAAGTTTGGTGTTTCAAGCTACAAAACAGTAATCAAACTCTAATAATACCACATTGAAAAGCTTCAAATCATAAGTCAGAGGGGCAGTAACTTGAGCATGTGATTTCTACCCATCCCTGTGATAGATACTGGTTCATAATTTTGAAAGGAAATAAATTCTACTAGTGCAAATTGTCCTTAATGATTGTACCAATGGGTTATCTAGCCAGTGAGTAAAAAGAAAAAAATGGTACATCTAACACAGCCGAATCTTCAGGATATTCAAGAGACTTGCTTCTTCCAACAAATTAAACTCATCAAACAAATTATGGTATTGTTAAATTGCGGCTATACGATGAAGTTATGGGAAAGAGTGAGTGAACAGAGATTAAGAAAAAAGACTCAAGTCGCCGAGAATCAATTTGATGTTATACCGGAAACGTCGACCATGGAAGCAATTTATCTATTACGGCGTGTGATGGAGCAGTATTGGATGGCCCAACAAGACCCGCACATAATTTTTATTGACTTGGAGCAAACATATGATAAAGTGCTTAGAGAGATTTTGTGGAAAGTCTTAGAGAAGAAAGGGATTAGAATTGCATATATTCGAGCTATCCAAGATATGTATGAAGGGTATCGACTAGCGTTTGAACACAGGGTGGAGAGACAGACAATTTTCCCATTACAATTGGTTTGCATCAAGGATACCCTAAACCTCTACCTTTTTACCTTAATTTTGGATATACTCACGGAACACATCCAAGAACTAGCACCGAGATGCATGCTTTTTGCAGATGATATAGTCCTTTTTGGGAAAGTTGAAGGAGGGTTTCAATGAGAGGTTGGAAACTTGGAGACCAGCTTTAGAAACGCATAGTTTTCGCCCGAGCAAAAGTAAGATAGAGTATATGGAATGTAAGTTCAACAAAAGAAGAAGCGTTTCTAACCTATAGGTGAAAGTCAAAGACCATATTATCCCTCAAGTCACACGATTTAAATATCTTGGGTTCATAATACAAAATGACAAAAAATATAAAGCGATGTAAACCATCAAATTTAGGTTGGGTGGTTGAAATGGAGAAAGGCATCAGGTGTTTTATGTGATGCAAAAGTACCGCTCAAGTTGAAGGAAAAGTTTTATCAGACTGCGGTAAGACCTGCAATTTTGTACAAAACAGAATGTTGGACGGTTAAGAATCATCACGAAAATAAAGTAACTGTAGTAGAGATGAGAATGTTGTGGTGGACGTGTGGTAAGACTCGACAGAATAAAATTAGAAATCAAAATAATATAAAGAGTGTCGGGGTAGTGCCTCTAGTAAAAAAGATAGTGGAAAATAGACTTAGGTGGTTTGAGCATGTAGAGAAAAGAACTTTAGATTCTATACTATAGTTGAAAGAGTAAACCAGATGAAGTGAAGGATAACACTTCGAGGAAGAGAAAGACTATAAAAGAAGTTATTAAGAAATATCTCGAAATTAATGATTTGGATAGAAGCATAACCTTTGATAGAACATTATGACGAAAGTTGATCCATACAACCGACCCCGCCTAGAGGGATAAGGCTTGTTGTTGTTGTTGTTAAATTGCGGCTATAGTGGCCTACAACTCAATGGCGTAGTGGAATTTGAACAAATCACAGTATACGGTTTAGAACAAAATATTATCAAATAACACTTATAGCAGCGCACAATCAAACTGCTATTTCTGCAATCCCCGGTTGACAACACTACAAGATTGAGGGTTTGATGACATTACAGTAATTTACACCGTTATAATCATAAATCAGCAACCCCAAATTCAAATCAATCAAACCAAGTAACTCTTGGAACAACAGTTTTGAAAGAACAAATATCAGAGTAAATTACAGTTTTCCTGGCACTCTAAGTATAGTCCAAATATAAAATTAACATACATGCAACCATTACAAACAAGTGTAAACATGAATTCAAAAGTAGAAACGAAAAAAGAGTGAAAAGAAGAAAAACCTCCATATTGAGAGCAACACGAACACCCTGAACCTCTTTACGGAACTTGAGAAATAACTCCGAAGGCATCAAATTGATGTTGTATAACTCATCCCAAGAACTTGGCTCCTCCACGTTCGGTTCCGAATCCATTGTTTCAAACTGAAATTTCTCTTATCCCTAAAATTGAAATCAAAAGTTGCAGAGAGAAGATGAAGGGGAAGAAAAGAGAATTAAGCAATCTCGCTAACGAGTAACGAGTCCCAATGCTAGTGATGCTCTTCAAGCCGCTCGTAAATGTCCAAATCACTTCTCTTTTTTTTTTTTGTAAAATTTTAAGATTTAATTTAATTATCCAATTTTTTTAATTATAAAGAGTTTTTAGATAGAAGGATGTTTCAAGATAATATAAATTTTTCAAGAATTCAAAATTCTCTTTTTGGTAAATTTTATTAGAGATTAAGTTTAGAATTGTGTAAGAGCATCTTTAGTGGGAGTAAGAGCATAAATATCAATGTCATGTCATCGTTCCTTTACGGAAACCAAAGTCTTTTTGTGAGAAATTGATGGATGTTTGAAATTTCCAACTGTCCTTTAATTTGTCAACGTTGTTCTGCAAGAGAACGTTTCTCATTACTTCTTAACCATTAAAGTTGAATTAAAAATTATATATAATTAAATGTAAGGTATTTGATGGGACTCATTTTAGAGTTTTTGATGGGTTGTATGGATATTTAAAAAACATAACTGGATTGTTTAGAAAATTTTAAAGTGAAATATAATATAAAAAATTACGTGGACCCCGTCTAAAGAATCAAAGTGGGGATAATGAGTGTGGATGCTCTAAATGGATAAACTAAGATACTTTTTGTAGGCCCGTGATTTGTAGAATTTAAAAAATTTATAGTTGATTTGAGTAGTTTTTACTTTAATGGTGGTTGTTTATAAGAAACCAAAACTTGACCCCACATTTTATATTTTTTATTCAAATTACCATTAATTTAATTATTTTAATTAAAATACATATAATTTTTTAAATAAAATTTACCTTAAAAACTTAAAAATAATATTAAATATATTTTATTATAAAATTAAAAATGATACAAAATTCACAACAATAATACATAAAAAAAATTATATTTTCGTAGGAATATAATTATAATAAGGATTCGATTGGTTGGGATCCATTTGATAAATAAATAAGATTGGAAATTGAAAGAAAAAAATTTAGAAGTAAAACTGTGTGTAAAAAAATTAAAATTTCTATAGAATTTATAGAAGGTAAAAAAATGATAATATGACCGTTACTATTTTCAAATATCATATCCTTACTTTAATGTTGTTGGAATATTTGGAATATTTTATTAATATTAAATAACATTATAATAGGTTTCACATAGTTAACGTTAACTATATAGATAATGAAAACTAAATTTTAGTTCATTTGGATGCCATGTCAGCTCTCCTATAATGCAAATTCCTTATTACTAACGTAAGCTATAAAGAATTTTGGTTTAACAACACTGCGTTAAAGTTACTCTAAGGCATTTGTGTAATTCTCAATTGTGCTGAGTCAACATAGTTGTGCGTCAGCTATATAAAGTCGTGTCCTGAATTGTTATATCAGATATCCAAGGGGCCAACACGGTCGTTCGTGTCAGCTGACATGGCCCATGTTGGCTGAAGCGAGTCATCTTTCAATTTTCTTATTTTTTGGGCCTTTGTGATCCCTAAGGGTATTTTGCGTATTTTTCTTTTACTGTGTTGGACCTGAGAGTATTTAAGATAGGTTTTGAGAAGGAAGAGGGGACTTTTTTTGGCCAGAGAAGAAATACACTTCCCCTCGAGATCGATATTCGGGAAAATTCTCATTATTACTACATTGACAAAATAGTACACTTACTATTTTACCGATCAAGTTTTTGGCGTCGTTGTCGAGGACTGCCGAAATATAAGTAAATGTAATTCATTTGAAATTTTGTCGCTTTGCGACCATTTAAAATTATTATTTGTATTCTGTTATTACTAATCTGCGTCTAACATTTTTATGCGAGGAAAATCCTCAGCTAATTTTCTTTTTGACGCAGAGATCGAAAGAACTCTACATGCAAGGCGTAGACAAGCAAGACTGGCAGGTTCAGACTCAGATACTGAGACTATGGTTGGAGTTCCACAGGCAGAGAGACTACTTGGTGATTACGGTGGGGCTAATGCATCGGCTGGTAGGTTAACAATTGTAAACCAACCGGTGAATGTGGCCAATTTCCAGTTGCATCCGAGCACTATCAACCAACTTGAGAGGAAACCTTTCACCGGAAAGATTAATGAAGATGCCAACAAACATCTACAAAGATTTCTAACTATGAGCATTACTCTCAAGATAGAGGGGCACACTAATGAAGCAAAGAAATTACGAATGTTTCCGTTCACTCTCTCTGAAGATGCTGAAAAATGGTTTTACTCATTACCCGCAAGAAGTATTGCTACTTGGGAAGAGATGGAAAAGACCTTTCTAAATGAGTATTTTCTCGCCTCTGTGTATATTCGTAAAAGATATGATATTATGAATTTTAAACAGAAGGAGGGAGAATCGTTGGGCGATGCGTATAAAAGGTTCAAACGGTTATTAGTTGCATGTCCTACTCATAACCTGGATCAAACTAAACAAATGAAACTGTTTGTGAATGGTTTCAAGATGAAGACTAAGCAACTAATTTATACATCAGCAGGTGGCTCATCAAACTTTACAATAGCCACTGATATTAAGAAGATCATTGAAGCCATTGTGGCAAATGAGCATTTGGAATTGTACGACCGCAGTGTGAGTAAACCTGAAGGAATGATTGATTTGAAGATGGCTACTCAAGTTGTAAAAATGGAAGATCAAATCAAAGCTGAAGTAGAAAGAAGGCTTAAAGCAATGAAGGTAAGTACCCAACCTGTGGCTCAATTTCAACCTATCCAAGCTGTGAGTTGTGAGATTTGTAGTGGACCCTATTTTACTGTGCATTGTGTTGCGACTGCTCAACGAATTGAAGAGATAAAGTTTCTGAAGAAGAAGAATCTATATTCTCAGACTTATAATCCATGGTGGAAGAATCATTCTAACTTCTCCTAGAAAGATCAGAATCAACCTCAATATCAACAACAGTAACAGGCTCCTCAGAAAGCAGAATGAGAAATAGCTATTAAAAAGATGGCAGCTTATAATATTCAATTCCAAGAAGAGACACGGAGTAATAAGAGGAACACCACAACTGTTATAAAAAATCTTGAAGTTCAGATTGGACAAATAGCCCAACAACTCTCCACGGCATACTCAAGGAACCCTCCTGAGCACGACAGTACAAAATCCAAAAAATCATGAGAGTGTTAATGTTGTCACCGCAAGAAGTGAGAGAGTCATGGAAGAAGAGGAATGAAAAGAAACAAATGATTATCAGTGTATAGAAGTTGAGCTTGAAGTGAGAGAAAACAGAAAAGAATCGGAAAAAGTATTACCACCTGTGAAGCCAACTGAAGAGAAAAAGAAAGAGGAGGTTAAACCAAAAGTCAAGCTACCTTACCCTCAGAAAATTACAAAGAAGGATCCGAAAGAGAAAGACTTTGAAAAGTTCAGCACAATGTTCAAAAAGCTAGAAATCAATATGTCGTTCTTTGAAGCACTCGAGCAAATGCCCTTGTACAAGAAATTCATGAAAGAGGTAATGGAAAAAAAAGAGACCAATGAGTGAGGAGCAGAAAAGTTCAACTGAGTAGTGTAATGAAATATCACAAGGAAGGAGAATCCCCATCAAGCGGAAAGATCCTGGACCTGTAGCAATTCCTTGCATTATAAAAGATAGAACTTTCAAGAAGGTCCTCATTGATTCAGGTTCTAGTGTGAGTCTCATGCCTTTATCTATTTTCAAAAAGCTGGGTATTGGAAAAGTGAGTGATACGAAAACCAAAATACGATTTCATCGCAACTCAATCAAATCTCCACTGATTTTAGTGAAACTTAAGCCTATCTCACTTGTTTTTTCATGAGGATTACAATGGTGCTGTCCAAATTTTGAAATGATGCTCACACAATAAAATACGATTGCTCACGCACAATGAAGTTTAAAAATGCATTCTCAAAATCTGAGTGAAACACGACATACTGGCCTTGATATAAAGTTGTGCACGCATCAAAAACATGTTATAGACAAAGCCTGAACAGAAGAAAGATTCAAATTTGTGCTAGATCTCAAAGTAATGTATGAGTTGCAAAGTGCAATGATGGTTTGAAAATGCAAAATTAAAGACAGCCAATAGCAAGACCAAACACAAGAGGTTTAAACAAGATGAAATTAAACACAACCATGAGTTAAACATTCAAGGACCCTAATCCACATTAGCATCTGAAGAAATCTATGACTCAATAAGGCTGTCAAGACAGCTTGCCTGCAGCAGCAGCAGACATCATGCTTTTGTCTCAAGTCAAGTAACAATACAAAGTGGTCTTAGATTATGGCATTAAGGCAATAGGGCTGGTGATAACAAATCAACAATACTCATGATAACAGATACACTTATGATGCACATCAAGACATAACAAGTAATGACGTGATACAAGCATAAACATATCCAAGACAATTGGCACATACAAGATATGACCACAGCAGATTTTTACACACAAGATAATGGACAAATGCAAAAACAGCTAGCACACATAAAATGATGGACATATGCAATAACAGCTAGGCACTTCTACCACAGTTGCACTATACACTAAGTCATTCTTGAATCCAAACAGCAGCCCTTATACATGAGGGACATAATTGACAGCAATAAAACATGAATCTTAACAAAGCAAAATCAAATCTCAATGCAGTAGTACTTTTACAAAAAAGTGGCAAAGAATAGCAGCAAGTTCACAAACTAAACATGTGATCCAAATTTAACAGCCAGAACTATGAACACTAAATGGAAACACTTGACTTCATCAGCCAACTTGTCTAGACTCATTACATGATGGGACAAACTGTCTTACTGAGGAACAAGGCATTAAATGAAATGTCTAGCAAGTACTAAGGAAATGTATCCAACAGCAGATACTTGGAAGCAGATTATGTGGTCCTAGGCCACAAACACATCGAGTAATTATTGATCAACAACTTGCTTATGCC